AAAACTAGTAGTTTTCCTATTCTATTATTTTCAAGCATTTTCTCTTAAAATGTCCCGAATTTGAAACAACAATCTATACTAAACACTGCAAAAATTACTATGCAGCTGTAATGTAGTAATCTAACACTTTTAAAGGAAAAAGGCATCATACCAAAAAAAAACCATGTCTACATTTTACATGTATATGTCATAACATTTATCTAATTATATATCAAGTAAGCATGATAAATGAAGGTATAATGAGGTACGTATGTACGTTGCTCTGAAAGTAATGCCCTCTATTTATTTCAGTGGAAACTGTAACACATACAAAGAACACGATAAGACTATCGAATGCAGCAAATTCTCAGCTACAAAATGCTGTTTTTCAACATAATCGCCATGATTAGTTGTGCATTTTCATCAGTGCTGAACAAGAACCTGCATGCTGCGTTTGTAAAAATCTGTACCAGCAGAGGTGACCCACTGTCACTGTTGCCGCTGCTGAAATGCACCACCCACCACCTCACTGTGCTCACAGCTACTGTTTGGTCTCCAAATGTCAGTGAATGTCAATGGGTGCCATTTTTTTTTCATGTGGAGGAATTTGATGACACACCTTTGCTTCCTCCGCACTTCCATTACAGACGTTATTTAGTCACATTGTCCCTCTGCTGCCATCTGTCTCACAGCAACAAAATGTAATGGATTATTGGTGGGAGGGTTCAGCCTCTGCAGCCATGCTGCCAACATTGCCTCTAACGTCATTAGCCAATACTATAAAACAAGAGGCATTACTTTTGAAGTAGCCCTTGTATATATCTTAAAAGAACAGTTTTTGCACAGCTTATTCTATAATGCAGATATATCTTCATTTGAAGCATCTGAAGCAAGCAATTTATCAGAGAAAGATTGAATGGATACTCTTCAGCTCACTACTGTGAATAAAAGCGCTATGGATAAATGTCACTACTGAAGTGCAAGGCTATTCCATGAAGGCTACCACTTCACTCAGATTCACTAGGCCCGGAAACGTGACTTAGAGGAAAGCTCCCTGATTGTAAAGAGATTTACAGTAAAGCACCAAGCAGACATTACCTTGATATACTGATCTGTACTAATCAGAAATGAGGTCAATGTTCTTTCTGTTTGTTGACATTAGACATGGGTGTTTTTTTCCTAGAAACAATGATTAGTAGAACTGTATGCATTAGAGTGTGTGTAATGCACCCCTGCAAGCTGGTATCAAACATTCACAGAATGCCTAGGGCACTTTACAAGAGCTTAACCATGTTAATTTAATGCCATTAGACTTGCTCTAGCTCATCCATGTATGCACTGGAGCTATGAGAGACCTGAGCCTCCTCCACTGAAAGCTGGAGAACAGGCAGGACAGACTGGGGAAATCTTAACTGGTACCAGAGTTTTGTATTTAAGTTATTGAATCAAGCTTCTGGTCTTATTAGAAATCAAATCATTAGTCAAATACTCTGTTTGTTTTATGAATTTCTTCCATGCCATAGGTCTCAGCTTTAAAAATAAATAAATAAATAAATGTGCATAGTTAAAACAAAAATGATGACAGAAGAGAGTGCACCCCCAGCAAGTTTATTGATGATGCAGAAGTGGAGGGAGTGGCTGAGAGGCCAGAAGCTCATGCTGCCTTCCAGAGGGACCTGGACAGGCCGGAGATTTGAGCTGACAGGTTCCTTGTGTGGTTTAACAGGAGAAAATGAAGGTCTCGTCACTAGGGAGGAACACACACATGTGCATGCTGGGACTGCCCAACTGAAAAGCAATTTGGCAGAAAAGGACCTGGGAATCCTGGCAGACATCAAGTTGAAAATGAAACAGCAGAGCCATTGTAGTAAAGATAGGTGATAGTATCTTGGGTTGTAAAGTACTGCCAGCAGGTTGACGAAGGTGATCCTTTCCTCTATTCAGCACTGCTGAGGCCACATCAAAAATACTGTATTCAGCTCTGGGCTCCCCTGTACAGGAGAGAGACAGAGATAATGAAAAGAAATCAACAAAAGTCTATTAAGATGAAGAAGTTTCTAGAGCATCTCTCATATCAGGAAATGCTGAGAGACTATTTAGCCTAGAGAAAAGAAGTCTTAGGGGAAATACATGTAAATACCTGAATATGCAAAGAGGCAGAGCCAGGCTCTTTTCAGGGCTGCCTGGTGCCAGAACTGGATGCAGTGGGCACAAACTAGAATACAGGGGGCTCCCTATGAGCACTAGGAAGCAATTTCATCCCATGCAGTTGACAGAGCCCTGGCACAGATTGCCTGGAGAGGTTGTGGAGCCTCCTTTTTGGAGATCTTCAAAAGCTGCCTATTAGCTTGATCACCAGCTCTCTGGTGACCCTGCCGGAGCAGGGGTTGGGCCAGGTGACTTTCTTTCCAATCTCCAGCCATTGTGATTTTTCAAATCTGGATCAATCATGGAACACCTACATTTTACTGCTATGTTACTTAAGGTGTTGGGGCAAGGGGAGAGAGAAGTTAGTACTTGTTCAAACAAATACATGTGTCTGTATTCCTTTGGTAATCACAGCATCCCTCAAGCTCTTCAGATCCCAAATGACATTGTCTATGAAGAGATTTTCTCTGTTGTTAAAGTAATGACAGATGTGTGTGTATATAACATGCATAATAGCTGTATTATCCTACCAACCCATATCTGAGATTACTTACTTCTCTGAATACTGTGCTATACTAATGCTAGAGCTTAGGTTCATCTCAGCTAATTTTAGGAATGGAGCTGAGGTCTGTTTCAGGAGGATAACTGCTATAAGATCCTTAATCAGTAGAGACAAGTGGAGATAGGAACTTTCATAGAGGGTGAATCAGGTTTTATACACGTTTGATTGTCCTTGGAGGCTCTCATCTATCTGATTTGGTGTTGTTTTTTTCTCAAGAAATTTGTGGTTACAAAACCTAAGTTTGCATTCTAGCCACACGTCCTATTACCAAGGAGAGCCATGTTTCAGGTAAATGATAAACTAAACTTGGCATGAGAGGATACAAATGAATTCCTGCACAGATTTCGTGAGATCCTCATGCAATTTTTTTAGGCCCTAGTTTAACCATTAAAATAAATACATATTTCAGACTGTAAAATGTTTAGAGTGGTTTTCCTTCATTCAGAAGGGAATATGTGACCTTGTTTTCTCCTCAGTTTAATGCTTTGTACTTCCTCTATACACATAAATAAAGAAGTCATTTCCACTGCAATGATCATTAAAATTTGATTAAGCCCACAGTAAAAGAGTGTGAGAAACCTGAAAATAATGAGAAAACACGATTTCCAGTCAACAGGAACTGTGTGTGGAGAGATGTTGTACAGTTAAGCTCAATCTATGCAAGTCATTATAGGTACCCTCATGTACTGATAAACATATATGAAAATCATACATCAAGTTAGAAGAGTTAATTCTGCCAGCCTAAAGTGAGCATCCTCAGTTTGTGTAACCTCACAGAGCACAGCTGCCCACAGCATTACTGTGCCTCTGTTCTCGAATCAGAGTAAAAACATTTCACTGCCACTTGTGCATTCAGATTCTTGACTTCTATATTTTGTTCCCTTTAGAGTGGAAATCCTTTGGGCACCCTATGGTACACAGAATTACAGAATCACAGAATGGCCAGGGTTGGAAGGGACCTCAAGGATCATGAATCTCCAACCCCCCTGCCACAGGCCACAGGGCCACCAACCTTCCCACCTAATGCTAGACCAGGCTGCCCAGGGCCCCATCCAATCTGGCCTTGAACACCTCCAGGGATGGGGCATCCACAACCTCTCTGGGCAGCCTGTTCCAGCACCTCACCACTCTCTCTGTAAAGAATTTCCCCCTGACGTTCAACCTAAATTCCCCCCACCCCCCCCCAAAAAAGCACAACACCACCAAAATGGTACATAAAACAGTTTTCCTCTCTCTGTTATAACATCACAGAGCAAACAGCATGCTGACTGAAAGTGATACTACACATAACCATTAATACTACAGGGCCTTCCACAAAAATGAATCAGTTAGAATGGTGGCAGTATATGGAGCTTTTTTTGTACAGGACTTTTCAGATGTAGAAGGAATTCACATGTAGCTGATTAACAACCATGCTGGAAGGGCTCTCCCTGCTGCCTCTCGGCACACTTGGTTAGTTCAGGCAAACTGAGGTGATTGCATGGCTTCCAGTTCAGAGCTGCTGGTAACCAGCAGGCTCCCTGCAGTATTACCATGTAGCTGTAACCACAGTGTGCCAGTCACTGTAACCACAGTGTGCAGCAGTCAGCTGCATTCAAAGAGTGTAGATGGCCTTCCTTTTATGTCTTTTTCAGGAAAAGTGGTGATAAAAGCATTGTGACAGTCCCAGAAAAAATGTTCTTAGAGGTGTAATAAACACTTTACATGAGAATTTAATAAAGAAGACCTGTAAGAATTCCCAGGAGTAGCTGTATTTCTATTAGTTCTGTCTCATTGCAATTTCAAAGTTGTTGAGATCTGTTAAAATGTTTTGTACTTCCTGTATCTGACAGAATAATCCTTACTGAAGAACTACCTTCACAGTGGAAGAGAGATTTCTATCAGTAGCAATGACAGAGATCAAGCATCTTCAAACTTTTGTTGCAGTTTTTGCATCAGCTTTTTGTTTCTATGAAGTCACTGATGGAAAATCAAACATGGACATTGTTAGGTCTTTGTGAATATCTATGTACACACTATGAAAATGTTTTCCTAAATACTACTGTGTTTCTTGGTGTGGAAAGCAGTTCTTCTCTTCCCTTGAAATAAATGGCAGTTATCAGAATTATAGCAGTAGTAAAAGTCAAAAAACAACAAATTCTAAATGCTGCGGTTTTTAGTATTAAATGTTATAATGTTGAAAGTTCTGAAATATTAACATTTTCAGAAATCAAAGAACAGTTGTTTAAGCTTAACCAATGAAAAACTATAGTTCATAGCGCACAGATGACAGAAATGAGTCACCATGCTTATATTGTTCTTTGTTTTACAGTGTTGTCCGCACATTTTCGGGTCTGCGAGCCATATACAGACTACAAAGGACGCTACCACTTTGGTTTTCACTGCCCCCGTCTTTCTGACAATAAATCTTACATCTTTTGCTGTCACCATAACAACACAGTATTTAAATACTGCTGCAATGAGACAGAATTTCAGACTGTTATGCAGATGAACTTAACAGGGAATGCAGATGGATATATGCATAAGTAAGTACATGAGTTTCAAGTGCTCTTCACCAAACTGTTCCTGGTCTAGTAATGTAGTCTGAGGTGTACTTAATGATGGGAGCAATTAAAATAATCACACACAGAGAAACACTGCTGAAAGGCTTTTGCTATTACAGAACTTTTAAAAGAAATGGTATTTTAGTTTTGCTTTCATTGCTTTGGTGCATACTATAAACATTGTTTGGACAGTACGTAAGTAAAAGCTGCGTATAAATACAAGAGATATGAAGATATATATAAAAGTTACAAATGAACAGTCTCTCCTCAGCTTCAGTCTTATCTGAACTATATTCAAATGTATGTCTGTAAAAATAAACCTCAAAACCACATCCATGGGAGCTGACTTTTTCCATGTCAGCCCTGTACTGAATCTCTGATATTTCACACGTGAATCTCTTGTCATCTCTGACCTTGGGGAACAGAATGTATTTGCGTATATACCAGCACTGTGTCTCCTTCCCTCTTACCTGAGATACATCCATGTAGTTCTGGGGCCTATCCTTACATTAAATATCAGTTAGGTTTGTTTTGTTGGTTTTGGGGGGGGAGGGGGTTCATAGGAAACTAATCTGTAGCAAGCAGATGTTTGTTACTGATTACTTATTTATGATGGCAAAATGCTCACTTGTGATCTGTCTTGTATCATATTTTATATTCTGGCCACCCTAATCCACTGTGATTTCTCTTGGTGCAGAGGGCCACTTTCAGCTGATGTAAACTCCCACAGTCAAATTCTCATCTGTCTGCTTTCCCCTGACATTTTATTCTGGTATCCAGGCCGTTCAGGGCAAGAAAGAGGTAGATTAAAGACAGGTGGAATTCCAACCTATTGACTTTTGGTTATTTTGGGGATTTCAGTGTTTTCTTTTCTGGTGCAAACCTTGGTCAGCTCGTTGTCATTCATCTATATAGGACAAGGTGCAGAGCTGGAATACTGATGTTGGCTCCTTTAGCTTTTAACTGCAGCAAGCAGCAGCCAGCTCAGTGTTGTCTTCCTTAACACCTCTCCTACAGTTCTGCCTTCTGATGTTTGAATCTTGTATAGATGTAGAAATTGCACACTATAACTTAAAAGGTGTTAGCAACAACCACCTAGAATAAAGGAGCCTGTAGTGTAAGTAGCGTAAAAGAGTGATACTTGCAAAATGTCTCCTGGGATGTAGAACATTTCTCTGCCACCTGCCTTGTTGTTTGCATGTCCATTCATGTGTGCATGTACACACACATGCATGCACCCACAGAAATAAACATAGAGTTCTTTCTATTTCAGGGCTGTGTTGTGTAAGCAGTTCATCAGTGGGAAAGAAGGTTATTTGATATTCTATGGGCTATGGGATCTTGCTTTAATTAAAATACTTAGAGCCTAGTGTAAGCTTTATTTTAGTTTTAATCTAGCAGTCACTTCTTTAAAAGTAACTTCATGCAACTATGATGGAGAAGAGGCTATTTCTGTAGTGTTTGTTGGTAAGAGTCATTGAGAATCACCTGCAGAGTGCGTAACTTATATATGTCTTCAGTCCAGAATTTCTTGTGGCCATTAGCTATGTGCTGATCAAAGGTGCAAAGCAAAGGTGTGAGAGAAAATGTTAAATACAAAAAAGAGCTTTGGGAGATACAGTTTAGAGAAGTGCATGAGTGAAACCAGTATTCCCTTTTTGTAACTTCCTGAGATATTACTTCTGATAAATCCATCAGGGCCAGGAAAATGAGAGAAGATAACATTCTATTAAAGATCCTCCAATGTAAAGAGACAGAGATCTCCTCATCCTGAGCTTACTGAGATTGGCAGACGCCTTTCTTTTAATGTGCTGTAGAGGAGCAGAAAGAAGTAAAGCCTAGATACACTTAGGTCACTGTAATAAACATCTTAACACTCTTGGACTTTATTTAACGTATGTAATTTTTTTTCATTTGGATTCTAATACATCCAGGATTCACTATACTGTTACAAAATCAGCTATTTGTTTAGATGTAATTTCACACACCACTGAAAAAAAAAAATCTGATGAAACCTATTGTACTGTGGCTGGAGAGAATGAATGACTTAGGATATTGGAGTAGCAATGAACTGAAAAAAACTGATGATAGTTGTAAGGGAAGAGTGATTCAATATTATTAATATTTTGTTTATTTTTCCCCTTTGCCATTCTTGTGATCATCAAAACACATCTCTTGTTTTATCAGGCAATTGAGGGGAAAAATTAATGAAGTCATATGTAATTCCTTTGTTGTGACATAGCTGAAAAACCATTTGTCTTCTATAGTCATACAGTATAATGATAGTGGGTTTATTTACATTACTTAAATTTCCATAACTAAACATTTCTGTGTTTTGGTAAGTGCAGAATACTGGGCTGTATCTTTGCAATCACACAGACTAATCAGTTTATAATATTTTTAAATGCTAGCAATTCATGTATTAAATATAGGAATACCAGTGATGTCTAACAGACAGAAAAGATTCTGCCATCCAAAAATTTTTCCATAACACTTTGTCTAATAAGTTATTTGATTATTTTTAAAAATGGTATTAACCTGAGTCTTGTATCTGTCCTCTCTCAGATTTTCTATTATGCATGTTCTGATGGGAATCAGCAGCAGTACTGTGTTAGGAGTCCTTGATCTGACACTGGAACAGCGTTATGGCAGTCTGTAATGCATCCGTGTTTTTTCTTATCTTTTATTCCGGTTTTTCAGAGTTGAATGGCTTTAGCACAGCACTCTACAACACTGCACCAAAAGCAATGTGGAACAGAATAGCAGTATCTTTCTCCATGTGCAGCATGTCCCCTGCAGAGCTGGCATTTGGTTAAATATCTCCCAGAAAATCTTCTTTACAAGAAAAGCAAAGCTAAATAAATACATAAAATTTTCATTTCCACCACCAACTGTTCCAAAAAGATGTAATTTAGCTGGGAAGACCTCTAAGGTACTGCAGCAGTAGATTCTTCAGGAAAATAGAAGATGGGACAAACATCTTTAGATATTTTCTATTTTAGTGTGCATGTAAAAAAGTACCAAGGTTTCCTCAGTGATAGAAGTACCAAGGAATTTGCAAGGAGGTAAGCTTGCATTTGCTTGGGGCAACACTTAAAACGTGTTACTACTGCAAGTAACAGTCCTTTTTAACTAGAATAGGGAAAGAAGCATTTTCCATGGCCATCTGCCCACATTTATACTGCAGCTGTAGAATTCTGCTCACAATTGTTTTGATTTGTTGGGTTTTTTAAAACCCGAATTCCTTAATGAATTATTTTCTGTTCCTGTGCAGCATATAAAAAAAAAACCAAACAACTCTTCTAAAAAATCAGCTTAGTCCAAAACCTGCTTGCCATCTCTATCAAAAAATTAATAAATTAGATGGAAGGAATTGCATGGGTAAAAATAATAGCATAATCTGTCTATTTTCATATCTTTGTAGGAGTGTCAGAGAAATCTGTGTAGGATTTTGTACATGGAATTGGATGAGACGGGTAAAAAAAGTATTTATTGTCCTCAGAGAGCCCAATTCAAGGCTTCTTGAAGCCAGAGCAAATATTTACATAAGGAGGCCCTGCATCAATTCTACAACATATATACATTCTATTTCTGCAAAAGCCAAAGTGTCTTGAAATAAAGAGCTCCTAAGCTTTTGTAGTAGATCCATGAATTATTCTGTTTCACATACAAGCTAGGAAGGAATGATCATGTAACTTTACTGCATATTCAGTTTTCCTGTCTGTAGGCCTATGACAGCAGAGGACTGGGCAGGATGGCCTTGGAAGTCACATCAAGCATTACTATGCTAAGCCTTGTATGAAAGCTGAAAGCAAAGCTCCAAAATCACTTACTGTGAGGGTGGGAGAATTAGGAGGTGAAGACAGGCTTTTCACCCAGAGAGGGGTGAGAGGGGTATAAGGAGATACAACCACACCAAAGCAACCAATTAGACTCGCCTGTCCTGGTGAAGGAACAAACTCCAATAATTGGAATCTTGACAGATTTGGAATCCATTCAGACTAATTTTTTATCAAAATGAAACTTCTGAACAGAAGCACGGAAAAATCAAATTGCAAGGTGAAACTTTTAAAATTAAATCATTCAGCTCAGTGAAATGATAGAGTCCTAGGTGCTTTGATTCCCAGTTCTTTGCCCTGTCTCTGGCCCTGCTGTTATTCAGTGGTACAGAAGTAAGGTTGTTTATTTTCTAATTAAGGTATCTTCTCAATTTGTAGGGAAGTTTTAATTTTAATGTAGTTATGAACATCAGCAAAATTAGTATTTTCTACCAACTTAATAGTTTGAGAAACAAAGTGTATCAACATGCAGCATTTCTCTCTGTGCATGAAGCACGCTACTCTATTAGTTTTGCTTGTGATCTTTCACAAGGCTTCTTTGATAGTGATGCTGTCCCACTGTCTGTTAAGTTAAATAAGGCACTCTTTCATTTCTGTACTTGTGAGGAACAGATGTTATTTAGAAGGAACAGATGGAGAATTCGTATATGGCATGATTAATAAATTGTTGCTTTAAATTGGAACACTCAAAATAACTCTAATTTTCACTAAACCAAAATTCTGATGGGTAAAACTAAATGCCTGAAATAGCAATGAATTCTTCTGAGATAACCATAAGAAATGTTCCTCCCTCTCAAATTGCTGCCAAACAAAAATAACATTTTCTAATATTTCCATTCTTCCTCTGGATCAAACACAGCTCGCATCTTTCTAACACAGACCCTGTTAGCAGTAATGGTGCAGGACAGGATTTGTTACAGTGGATTTCTTTCTGACTTTTGAATTAAGGGCTCTTGGAAGCACTATGCTTTGTCTACTTCCAATCCTTCTAGGAATTTACTGAAAAGTTTGTAATCCTAGGCTAGCTTTATTTTGCAGTTACATGGAAAGGGCCCGTTAACAGCCCCAACCTTCCTCTCCTTACTCACAATCGTTTGCTATGGAACCTCATTTAATCTAGGCGTGTTTATCAGTTTAGTGGAAAGATCATTCACTGAAAAGGCGAATCAGTCTTGTTATGTGCTTACAGGCAGCAAAAGAGATTAAAATTCTGATTTCTCATATGAATTCTTGTTTCAATTACTGATTTTTTAGGAGTATAAAATGAAAGAGCCATATAACAGTTTAAACAGAAGTGAACGTTCAAAGCAGGAGCTTGAAATGTTTTAGGTTTGAAAGAGTTTGGGACATTTTTTTAAACTGTCAAAATATCTTTCCTTCTTGTGTCTATAATACATGTTCCCAGCCTTTTTTCTTCAGGTTTGATTGATGTTCTGATGAAAGGCAATTCCCTCAAAGTTTCCCTGAGTGTCTATGAATGAGCATAGTTGAGCTGGTGCTAGATTCTCTTTGTGTAAGTTCAGCTCCAAACAGATGGGAGTACTTACATAGTACTATTACTCTGAGATCATTTTCCCCTATGACTGTCTTCCTAATGACATTTTTATTAGTATCTCTTCTGCTTGTTCATTTTCATAGCTTCCACATCCATTTCTTCAGTCTAGATCAGTGTTCTTTCCTGTACACCTAACAAATTCATTCCTACTTGTTTCTTTCCTTCTCTGCTCTCACCTCATCTTCCTCACTCACAGAGTTTCCAATCCAGACTGCACTTTCACCTGATAGTTGTTGTTTACTTTTAGTATTGTGTCACTGCAGAGCTTTAGCACTTTTTCCCCTTTTAGATCTCCCAGTTCTCGACCTCTTTTCTTTCTTTGTTCTTTTAATAGCTTTACTCATCTGTCCTAGCTGTAAAGCTCCACATACCATGCCAGCAGCAGATAATTTTTACTGCCTTTCCCCATTTACACCCTATAGCTACACCAACATGTACATACAAATGTAGTAATAATTTTTCTTCCTATTGAATGCATAATACAATAAGAGCTTGTCAGTATTTTTCCTTCTTAAATTTACTACCAGCAAACTAATGCCCTGAGAGACTATACTTGTAATAGCATCTGCTGCATCCAACAATAATTAGTTGGAAAACTGAAGGCAAGTCCAAGCACAGTGAGCAACTTTTAAGACTGGAGGTTTGTAATACATGTCAGCAGTGACTGTTTTCAGTAGTAGACACCTCCTCAGGGTCAGTGATTACAACATATTTTCATATGGTTATCCTCACTCATATGTGTCCAGAGAAGGGCAGCGGAACTGGTGGGGGGTCTGGAGCACAAATCTTATGAGGAGCGGCTGAGGGAGCTGGGATTGTTTAGTCTGGAGAAGAGGAGGCTCAGGGGAGACCTCATTGCACTCTACAACTTCCTGAAGAGAGGTTGTGATGAGGAGGGATTGGCATCTTCTCCCAGGCAACAAACAGGACCCGAGGAAAGGGCCACAAGTTGTGCCAAGGGAGATTTAGATTGGACATAAGGACAAACTTTTTCTCTCAGAGAGTGGTCAGGCACTGGAATGCCCTGCCCAGGGAGGTGGTAGAGTATGAACCTTGTAGCTGATCCTTGTAGGATCACAACTGTGATCCAACGGGGCCTGAACTGGGAGTGTGCCACAGAGCTCTGCAAACCCGAGCGGGTGTGCAGGGGAAGGGGTAGTATATATTCACCAGCAAACTTCAAGCTAGACCATCTAGCAAGTAGGACACCCATGGGGCTCAGGATGTGGGAAGGGGTGCCGGGCAGACTGAAGGGCTGTGCCAGGCAGTGCTCAAGGATCTGGGCAGAGGAGTGCTGGGCAGACAGAAAGGCCATGCCAGTACCTGTGGTGTCTGGGGGAATGCTAGATGGACAGAAGATCCATACCAGGTGCTTGAGGGATTGCAAATGTGTGTGTGTTCATGAACGTAGAGGGAGATATGTGTATGCCTGTACTGGTGACCTTATGTCTCTGCCAGGCAGAGAGAAGGAAGGGGTCTTGGCCGCCGATGTCTGTTCTACATGAGTGTTGCATGTAAGTGCTGTTGAAGGCAGCCCTTCGCTGGAGCAGCCTGTCTGTGACTCTGGAATGTATGCTCAGTTTTGCTAATGGCTAAATCTGTGAAGGGAGAAGCAGCAGCCTTATCCCTCAGCCTGGACAGAGACTCCAGGGAACTAGGCTGCACTCAGTGGCAGAGAAGGAGTGAACCTAGGCCAAAAGAGATGGACATTCACTCTCATTGCTCTTCTTTACCACACCTAACATCATCAACTCTTTGTATGTGGTCTCGTTTAAAGCACTGGAGTTAATCATAGACCACATTTATACATTTTTTATGTGCCCAGATGAAAGTGAAATCCAAATGTTTGCAGGACAGAGAGTCTTCATTTTTAAAAACCTCCCATGTCGCATAGTATTTATAATTTTTAATTATGTACTTTAAAAGAAAATTTTTGTTTTCTATGTATTATACTGACATAATTGAAGAAACAAATAACTCTTAATACAGTAACAATTACTGATGTACTACCTGACTTGTTTTCCCTTCTTTTTTTTTTTTACAGCAACTACAGCGCACTGTTAGGGGTGTGGATCTATGGTTTTTTTGTGGTGATCTTGCTGGTACTGGACCTTTTATATTACTCTTCAATGAACTATGATATTTGCAAATTTTACCTAGCACGGTGGGGAATCCAGGGAAAGTGGATGACACAAGGACAGAGCCGATGGATTAATTCTGCTCAGGACCCAAGCCAAGTACAGACTCAGCCTCAGCCAGAGACACAGCCTCAAACTCAGCCTCAGCCACAGCCTCAGACGTCACAGACAGTACATACTCTAAAAGGAGATGCTTTAAGCCCACCCCTGATGTCTTTTCAGAGTACATCTGCCTGGTAAGTAAATTAAGCCATACTGTGATGTGTTTTTTGACTCTGTTACTTTGTAGTGTGAACAGTCATTTGCGTTTGGAAGCATCTGCAAATTCAGGGTGTGTAGTACCATTCAAGTACCTAAGACATAATTCTTTATATTACGAATTGTCTTATGTAATTGCTGCTTAGGAGTTTGTTATTCTGGAATGTCTTACATCATCTTGTAATACTGTTCTCTCAGAGAAATAGATGCTGCCATTTTTCAATGGTAAATATGGTAAATACTACTCCCATACAACATCCTTGTCTCTAAATTGGAGAGAGATGGATTTGAAGAGTGGACTGTTTGCTGAATAAATAATTGGCTGGATACATGCAGGGAGTTGCAGTCAATGCTCTATATCCAGGTGGAGATCAGTAATGAGGTGCGTTCCTCAGAGGTCTGCACTGGGACTGGTGTTATCTACGATCTTCATTAATGACATAGACAGCGGGATTGAGTGAGGCCTCAGCGGATTTGCTGATGACACTAAGATGAGGGTGCAGTTGATATGACAAAAGGAAAAGATGCCAGCCAAAGCAACTTGGCGAAGCTTAAGAAGTGGGCCTACATGAAATAAATGAGGTTCAACAAGTCCAAGTACAAGGAGCTGCAGTTGGGTAGAGGCAGTCCCAGACATCAATAGAGACTGGGTGAAAAATGGATTCAGCCCTGCAGAGAAGGACTTGGGGTTCTTGTGGACAAAAGGCTGGACATGAGCCCACAGTGTACACTTGCAGCCCGGAAAGGCAACTGTAAATTTGGCTTTATCAAGAGAAGGTTGGCCAGCAGGGCAAGAGAGGTGACTGTCCCCCTCTGTTCTGCCTTTGTGAGGCCCCATCTGGAGTACTGCATCCAGGCCTGGGGCACCCAGCACAAGACATGGAGCTATTGGAGTGGGTCCAAAGGAGGTCATGAAGTTTCTCAGAGGGTCAGACCTTTCTTATGAAGAGAGGCTGAAGGAACTTGTTCAAATTGGAGAAGAAAAGGCTCTGGAGAGGCCTCCATGAAGCCCTCCAATATCTTAATGGTACTTGTAGGAAAGATTAATTCATTTTCAGAGAAATGTAGTGACAGGACAAGTATTCACTTTAAGCTGAAGAGAGTAGATACAGTTTAGATATTATGATTTTTTTTTTTTTACTCGGAGAGAGATGAGGAACTGGAATAGTACAAAATAGTTGCCCACGGAAGCTGTGGAAGCCCCATCCCTGGAGGTACTCAGAGTCAGACTGGATATGGCCCTGGGCAGCCTGATGTAGTGGGAAGTGATCCTGCCTACAGCAGTAGGGTTGGAACCAGGTTGTTTTTAAGGTCCCTTCCAACCTAAACCATTCAAAGATTCTATTATGTGGTATAAATAAATTATAATTTATAAACCATTATGAAGTTAATTTTCATCTAGTATCAAAGACTATTTGTCGTGTGTGTCTATGTGTCTGTTGCTCTGGTTTTAAAAGACTGTATAAATAGCAACACTTGCTTCAGTGTAAGATGTCACAATTTCATTTGGGGTATGAGACACAGAAACAACATGAAAACCGGGTTAGTTTTTTATATGCATAGCTGAAAAAGCATAGCTTAATCTAATTTGACAGGATGACACAAGTAGGCTACTGTAAAGTTAAATGCAACCAAAACAAAACAGAATTAAAAAAAAAAAAAAACAACCACAACAAGACCAAATGGGAGGCAGGTTCAGAAACAGTGAGAATGTAAAATACAAACACAAAAAACTAAAGACTGATAACCATGGGCAAATTGTCACAAAATGATTTTTGACTGCTTTTTACCAAACAAAAAAGAATCAAAGGAAGAGACCTGAATAATGTGATATTCTGAATAAGATGTCAAGTTGAGGTAGGTGATTTTTTTTTCTTGTCAAGAGGAGTTTTTTACACAGCATACAGACTCGGCTTGGGGGAAGAGGGTGCACCAGTGTGTTTTAGAACTGTTTCAGAGAGTGAAGTTTTGGCAAAGTAAAGTGATCCACGAATGAGCAAGGTGTAAAAGATGGTGGTAATTCTGATATCATGAAGCACGTAAAGTTGCAGTGTTGGTCTTGATCTGAAACATTTGGGGAGTACTGTGTTGAAAACAAGACGATGTTAGAAACAGTCCTTTTATTACATAACTTGTTTCTTAATTTTAAATGTAAATCTAGAGTGAAAATCGTTGAAGATTTTTTGTGATTGACAGAAAACTTAGTGATGAAAAGGAACAGTGAAAGAGGAGCTCACTTGTCATAGCAGTCAGTACTGGATGTATGTGGTGCAATTTACACTTAGCAGGTCTTGTCCAAATTGGAGAATCCTAATAGTGTCACTTAAGATTGTACTTAGATAGAAGCACTCTTCTATTCTTCCACTTCTTTTTTTTTCTTCTTTTTTCTTCTCCTTTCAATCCCTGAAGCTTTTTTGCATGTGGAATTCCCAGTCTTTAGTCAGAACTGCAATTCAGGTTAAAACCAACACTTCAGTCATACACTGATCATGTTTTCAGCTTAATACATGTGTGTATGTGTGTGTGTATACAGAAGTGTAACAACTGTGCAAATATATGTACTTATGTTTAAGATATTAGGTTCAGTTACACCAATTAGTTCTGCCATATGAAAGGAAACTATCCAGTAATTTTTGAAGAATTCTTGATCACTTTCCTTTACTGACTTTTGTTTGCCTTTTTTTTTTTTTTAAGCATTAAGCGGAGAATGTATGTTAGGATCAGGTGAGCATATCACATGCTCTTTTTCCTGTGTTTGCAGGAGATGAGCATTGATACATCACTGTAGTAACCCTGACCCTTCCCTACTCCACTGTCTGTCTATACTCCTGTTAGTTCCCATCAAATCATTTACTTTTTCTAGTTCCTTTCATTGCTCAATGAAAGAAATAAGTAGCTGTTTCCTTAGCAAATCTGTACTTATCCCTTGTATTTCAGGACACAGCAGAAGACACCATATTTTCAAGCTTATAACCTGCAACTTTTGGAAACTTGCAGCCCTTGAACTAAATTCATAGATGTCTCAGACTGCACTTAACACAGGAAAATACAGAGAAAAGAGCAGTAGGTAGTGATGATCACAGGCAAGGTGATCAGTGTGTGGAAGAGGTTTTTAAATAGGGAGTTCTTTCAGAAAAAGTGAAGTCCTGTCTCCTACAGCACATGATAAGACAGGGGGGAATAAGTGTAGGTTGCCTATTTATTTCCCTATTAGATAATCTGCAGGTTATATACATGAAAATATGGAAATTTTGCAATATATGTATGAATTAGATTTAGTTTCAAAGTCTGTTTCTGCTGTAGCCTGTGTTTGATAAATGATCTCAGTACTGTCTTCTCAAAATTTAATCATTCTGTCAGTGAAGGAGTGCAACAGAGTTAGTGGATTTATCATTTCCATCACTGCTTTTAAGACTGCTGAGTTATTAGCCTCTTTTAGTTTTGTATTTTATACTTGAATTTCCATTGTTCCTGATGATAACATCAACCTCTTGATAACAGCAAGATTTTACTTTATAAAATCAACTTAAAGCATCAAAATTATCCCTGCTTTTTCCTCCACTGAGAAAATAAACATTCTTTTTTAACACCTCACAAATACACTCATGTATATATAGTTGGTGTCATACCATAAGAACAGCTCCAATTTATAAATGAGCTTTCTTTCTGCTCAAAAATAATAAAATACTATATGAAAATGCAAAACAGATTTTTTTTAGTCCTGTGAGATATGCATATATCCCAGGATATGAAACTTGCATACTGTTAAAAATGTTTTCCAAAAAAGTTCACAGGGTTTCTTGATGACAAAAGACGCCAAAGTTTTAGTTTCCTGTACTACAATTTTCATAATACAATTAAAAAACGTCTTCATTCTAGAAGATAGTACTGTATGAAAACAGGAATGTGATTCTTGCATATCTTGCATATCATTCTGCCCAGAGAGGTGGTGAATCTCTGTCCCTGGAGACATTCAAGGTCAGGCTGGATGGGGCTCTTAGCAACCTGATCGACCTGCAGATGTCCCTGTTCACTACAGGGGAGTTGGACTAGATAACCTTTAATGGTCCCTTCCAACTCAAATGATAGAATTCTATGAAGAATCAAAGCAACACTGCAGACTTTGTCTCCTTCCTGTCCTTACTGACAGCACAAGCAAATATCCCAAGAACAGTGTCAGGATTAACATACGGCTTGTAAAGCAATGTGGGGTCTCCTTGAATTTAAAAAGTCATGTAATGCTCATTCTTTTATCATTTCATTTAATGATTTAGTTTACATACTAAATTGAATTGGCTATGAAACCAATAACTGAGACAGAGATGTCAGAGAGAAAAGATAAAGCAAGCCAATAGAATATGGTGGATGGAACCATCCCCAAGGTGTTTAAACATCTTATTGTAGCAGTCTGCTCTGTTATTTACTAGAGACAAGGAGGGTCATGTATAGTCATAATATTATTATAGCTAAAGAAGTCTGGAATCCATTATACGAGCTGCTGACTGATGTGTAGAGGGCTTGCAGTGTTGTGTAAGGACAAGAAAGAAAAACCATTAATGTCAGAGACATTGAGCCTGATTCAGAATAATATTTCTTCACCATGTAGTGTATAGATTTTTGTAGCTCAACTAATGTTGATTTCTTCCTTAGTATGGAAACCATCTGAGGGCTGTCCTAAGGCCTTTGTGGTCTGAGTCCAGATCCTGTCGGATGTACCTCCCACAGCCCAAACACCGTCACAGACTCAAAAAAGCAGCCTGCAAGTGGCTGATCTTAAGCCATTGTGGTGGTTCCTCCAGGTCCTTGCTGAGGTGCGTGAGCTGTGTCCTTCCACGCTTACTGGTCCATGTGAGAATGTGCAGGTGGAGCAGCCTGAGCAGGCTTTTCAACAGCTGGATATCAAGCAGCAACAAGCAGCATGGAAATCTTTACTGCTGCTCAGCTAAGTGCAAGCCAGGGAGCAATACAAGGAAATACT